CGCTTAGCGGCAGAATCGTTTTGTTCACTGAACTAGTTCCCTTCGTTGGCATACGTCGCCATCCCCTCCAATATCCAGTACCTCTTATGCTTCTCTTGGTTGCTGTTACAGTGTTCAACTTCATGGACAGTGTAAATCAGCCCTTTGCCTTCAAGACGCTACACTTTGGCTGCACTGGATTTCATTTCATTGAACGCAAAAGGCAGAGAAAGGAAGAGAGAGAAGGCAGTGCATGCCGACATGACCCGTAATGGGTCCGCATCATCATCGCCCGGTGTTTTATCTCCTATCAAAACGAATACCTCCTCGAGTAATGCGCATTTGGCAAAATCTGGATGGGTGCATTCTTAATCATCGCGCATTGCGTTTCATCCGTGATTACCGCCAAGCCTGTATGCGCAATACAGTACTCTTGAAATAGACCCTGATGTATACATATTCGTATACATTGAGCCAAGGAATATATATATGTATGTATAAATATATATTTATACATACATACACATATGCATGTACATATGCTCACCAGTAGGATTCCTAAGTATTTAATAATAACTTAAATGTAATGAGACGTCCTGTTTTTAAGAGAACAATTCGTGTAAGTTCTTATAAATTTTTAAAATTATGTTTAACTATTATTATCTCATAAATTAATAATACGATTAGGCTACAATCTTTTCATTCACAAATGTCAGTCATATTTCAGTTTTTAGTAACTAATACTAAGGTATCCGAGTAACGGTTTTGATACATTTTTAACATAATTTTCTAATTATTTTATATTTATTAGATAATAAGCCAAATTAAATATAACTTTTTTTTGCATGTTTTCTATTAAACTTTTATTTTATTTTATTATGTACATTTTTATCTTACCTTAGATTATATAGAAAAATAATTATTTCAATTTTTATTTAATAACGAACCACTTTTATTTATATTATACCATAAATATTAAGTAGCTTTATTAGTAGTTTATTTTATAGAACATCAATGTAAGTTATAAAAATTTTCTAAAATAATATGTAAATGCCCTTACTTTTTTGTTCTTATAACCACTATTAGGATAGAAATAAATAATTGTATTAGGAACATATTCATAAAGTTTTTTATTATATTATAAAAAAATCCTTTTTGTTAATATTTTTAAGGTCAATATTTATCATCATAATAATTAAGAAAGTAATAAAATATTTAGAATACTGCTGAAACAATAACTTAATTTTATATTTGATCAAATATTCGCTTTCAATTTAACATTACTGAAAAATAATATTGGAATTAGGAAATTAATTTCGGATCACTCAAAATTCGAATATTTCATTTTGATATACTAATATTGTTCACTGTTCTTTTTTATGTATAATTATTCATGTATATATATATAACGTTATTGAAATATATTATAAATAATACTTAAATATATAAATTATTATATTACATTGAAATAGTTAAGTTATTATTTATTTTATTTGAATAAATTCTATATAAAATAATTCTATTTATTAACCAATGAAAAATAACGACTCAATTATTATTTACATGAATTTAAACATCTCTATTAAGTATCTGTTTTGTTATCGAAAGACTCAGTCTATATGAAAAAGAATTCTATTTACAATCATAAATTGGAGCAAATATAAATTTATCAATTTCAATTTAGCTGCTTCGAAAAAAGAACTGTAAATTTCTATGCATTATTCTGCAGTTTGATTATATATATTCAAGTAATTTAATCGCTGTATCTAGTCGTAATCTATATCTATCAATTTATTAGTTTCTATATTATTAGAAATATTATTTTAATTTCTATCATAAACAAATAGTAAAGAAATGAAAACAACATATAAATTGTGTTTTAAGAAACGTCTTTCGATGTTGAAAATTAAAAATATAATGTTAAATTTTAAATTTTATTTTTAAAATTTGCAATATCTATTAACTGCATACTTTGTGAAGTGTTTCTTTAAATAATTCTGCAAAGTTGCAAATTTCAGGACCATGCATCGGTCAAAGCTAGACTTCTACAAATACCTCCTGGCATGCGATTGGACGTTGTTTCAAAAATAGGAAGGCTTTTGAATAATTAGGTTGAGTCGTTAGCTCTAATAACACGTACTCCAGTCTTGAAATCTATGTATTCATAACTGCAATTATAATTGCAAAGGATATTCATTGGTATGTACTTTGACTAGTTTTGCAGATATTTCACATATCGAGGCTTCATTATTGTGAATTGTGAATTATTGTGAATTATTTATTTATTTTTCTTTTTCAATGAAATTTTTTTCAATTTATTTCATTTCATTTTCTTCATTCACATTCAAAATTTATTTCAATAATATATTGATAAATAAATTATTTGTATTGAAAGTAAAATAAATATAAGCATTTATTACCAGAAATAAAAATGATTCTTCAAATATTATGTCAAATTGATTCGATTAATTTTATTTTTATATGTATAACACCGTTTCTAAATTTATATTTAGTAAAATTATATTGATAGAATAAAAACAAATAAAAAATAAAATTGTAGAAATAAGTTAATAATATTTTTAATTTTAATATTTAAAATTTAGTATTATAATATTTCAATATTTTTAAATTAAAGAAAACATACAATATTTTAGAAATATTATAATATATTAGTTCATTTAGAAGTAGAATGTAAATAAAATAATCTGACATAATTTTTTATTAGGATATTTTAAAAATATTCTGTCATCGTCATTTCTTTTTTTTTAAGAACTCATGATTGACTAATTCTGATATTATATTAGATTACATTACAAATCCATACGGAAAGATAAATAAAAGATATAATAATAATGTTGAAAAATTTCTACGAATGTTTATTTAACGATACATATTTTGAGACATTTTAACTACAAATTTGAGTTCTATAATATTTATCAATTTCGTAATATTATTTTATTTTAAAATCATATACAAATATTAATGAATTTAATATTTAAAATATACATTCAATAACTTATTATTTTTTATTTTTATAATTCTATATTTTAAATAAATATATTATTAAGTAATTAAAATATTACTATTAAGTAATTTTAAATATTTGGTATATCAATCATCAATTTCAAATTTATTTTATAGGATCTCTTATTTACTATTTTTTAAATAACTATCCATTAATATTATATATTTTTATATATTATGGTTAACAACAAATAAATTATTTTAGTTTGAAAATATACTAAAAATTTTTTTCTTGTTTGAAAAAATCTATTTAAATTAATTAGTTAAATGAATATTAATAATATGCATCATTAAGGAATAAAAAATATTTTATATTTCATTTTTTTTAACAATTAATCAATAATTAATGCAAAAATTATATGATAAAGTATTGTTTTTATAATACGTAAAAATATCACATTATTTTTTCGTTGATTTTTTATTCTATTAAAATTACTTTTTAAAATATGTAACATTGATGTATTTCTGTATAATCCGTATTCCACTTTTTTCGCAACGCAGAAATAAAAAATAATACATTTTATTGAAAATTTCCATTTATAAAATATGACAATAAGAGTATCAAGTAAAAATATATAATATATGCAAATCATAAATTATATAAAAAAGCAACAAAAAACTACACTTAATTTATTCCTTATTGTAAAAAAGTGATATGTACAGAGTTTAAATATGATATATTTTATAGGATAATTAAAGAAAATACTGAAGGTACTTAAATTCTTAGTATTACATTAATAATTAATAAATAATTTCTATTAAAGACTTTATTATTAATTTATATTCTTAAGTGAGTCATCTAATTCATTGCTTTCATCTCATATTTATTTCTTTTTGAATAATTTACTAAAACTTTGTGTAGATTATTCTTATCACAATACTCATAAATAGTTTTTGTTGGTCGCTTGGGATGTATAGTATTTATAAAATATCGGCTATTGTTTTACAATTCCATTAATTTAATCTATTGTTGTATAGTTTATTTTTTAATATTTCGATAAATTTATACATAACATCTGACTATAAATTTTTGTTTCTTACTTGTTTCAGTCATTCATTTTTATGTTTATATACTTTTAAATGCATTTTTCATCAACAATTTACGAGAGGTATACGCGCGAGGTATACAAGATTTTTTTTTATCATCCTCATTTATAATTGTTTTGATTTTTCTTGTTAACAATAAACATATACTCTGATTCTTTCCTATACATTATATCTATGCTGGACCTTTCACATTGGATGATGTTTTATGTTCAATTTCTTTTTAGGTTTTATATTAATTTGATATGGTAATAAGAATAAGAATTTTTATTTTAATATTTTTTATTTTTTTCAATCGCTATTTATTATTGACTCAATAAAATATTCGGTTGCATTACTGTGTTTGCGGATCTCTATACAATTTTGTATATTAATATTATATTATAAATGCATATTATAAATAATATGAATTTGTAATATTACACTTATATGGTAGAAGTAATTCATTAGTTTTTTTAGTGTATTATTTTGTAATAATAATTATCGCCAACTATTAATAAATTATAAAAATAATATCAATAAATAAGATGAGTATACAAACTTCACATACATAGAATCTGAATAATTTACACAATACTTTAATATATATATATATATTTATATTATTATAAATATATTTATATATATTTATATATTATTCCATTTTTCCATTTAAATTGAGTTATAAACTACACTTATAAAATAAATATAACTATAAAATGTTATAAATTATATCTGAATTTACAATGTTTACATACAAAGTAAAATAAAAATTAGTAATAATTTACAAAGAGTAAAAGAAAATTACTTATATATCGAAGTTTTTAACAATATATAAAAGATATATAATATTATATATGTATTCAACTTATAAAATACTATGCCAGCCGTTTTCGCTAATTTTAAAAGAGGCAAATGTTGGTATAATTTTTATCTTAGAATGTTTATAATAATGCTAAATGTATTCTATGAAATTCTTTGTTATAAGTACATTATTTCATGCAGGGCGGCCAAAGGATGATGAAAGATTTTAGAACGAAGATAAACGTAAGGCAAAGAAAAATAAATTCGTAGGGTTTATGTAGCATACTTTAGTTCTGAATTCATAAATTTGTAGGGATTGGTCGACGGACCTCACTACTGTCAACCTATTTTTATCCATCGATCGATTGAATACTCCAGTGCTGCCAGCCATCTACACATAAAATTGTATTTTTTTTAATGTTATTATTTCAAGTACTTGCAATGATTTTAAATGGACAAATGGAATAAAATTTAAAACAGTTTGTATTTCTCGTATAAAATTAATTAGAAACATTAAATAAAGTATGTTATTATAATACGCTGATACGTTTGTTTTTTATTATTTGAGAGTTAAAACTTGATTTTAAGAAAGTGAATTCTATTTTGTTTGAATGCATAGAAAATTTAATTGTCTTTTTAGGATTTTGGTATGTTTGTAATAACTTATTCATGATCATCTAGTGAATTATTATAATTATAATAATTAACATGCAAAATGAATTATTTATTGCATGTTTCATTTTTCCAGTTTCACTTTTTGAAAATAATACTATGTAATTACTAAAACCCAATGATAATATTTCTTGAAATGAAAGTATTTATCACATGGTCTACTGCAATTTAGCATTAACGAAATTTTTAAAAATCATTACTTATAAAATTACAATGTATAAATTTTAAGTATTTTATAATATATAGAATACATAATATTTTTTCTAATTTTTTCTAGCTTTTCTAATTTTATGAATTTTACATTGATCGATTATACAAGTGTTTTTCAAAGCGTACAAATCGCATTTGTAAATTGTAAAAAAAGGATAAATTGAGTTAGAAAGACTGAAGGGGGAACAGAGGGAGAAAATGAAAGAGGATGAGAAACCTGAAATACAGTACCGTTTTTTGTCCATTTCGGAGTCTGTGGCAAATTTATAGGTCCTTTGGGTTGGATCAGGCGGTTGGAGCTCGAAAACGTGTTTCCTGCCTCCAGAATTTGGCACGCTCCCGTGGACCTTAAAGCCATGAAGAAAAGCTACTCCAAAGGCACGTCCAGCGTTTATGTCATCATAGAAGTATAGAGCGGCATCCTTGAGGATACAGTACCTTCTAGACCAACCCGTTGGTGACGATGTTCGTCGTACCCGTTTGTGTTGTTTGTTTAAATACCCGAAACAATCTGGCCGTTGTATCATACTCGGTGATAGCTGCTGCAGTCTCAATGAGCAGTCGAACCACGTGTTCGCCTGCAATTTAAAGTATTTTTAAATGTTTTTAACTATTTTAAAAAAATTTTTAAATTATATTTTTTAAGTATACAATATTATTTTTTATATTTATCTATAATTACAAAATAAAATCTCTTAATTTCATTATTTTGTAATATATATGTTCATCTAATTTTTAAATAGTTCTATTATTATAATTAAAGTTTTATTATTGTAATGACATAAATGCTATATTATAATATTTAATTTGTTATCTGCATGCCTTATTATCTTAATCTAGTCAGCTTAATTTATTTAATTAGAAATTTTATTTCTAGTTTTAAAAGATCCAGTCACGTTTCTTTCAAAATGATTCTTTTCTGTCCATCTTGTAACTATGTCTTTAAATATCCATAATCAATTCTTAGTAATATTATTTTGTACAGTGAAATATTTAAACAATATGTAGCTAAATTTCATAAATAATATACCTAAATGCAAATTTAATAGTTTATAAATAAAACAATTTTGATTTTTTAATACTAATATTATTATTCATTTCTAATTTATTATTTGTGCAACAATTGAAATATCTATTTTTAATGAAAATAATGAAAATCTTTAAATTATTTTTAAAACTAATTTTGGATGCTATCTATTCTATTTATAGAAACCATTATTTATTTTATAGTATTTATATATCTTCTTTATTTTATTTATTTTATTCATTTTTAAATCTTTTATAAATGATTCTGTATACGATTTTATATTGTTACAATACATTATCATAAAATTAATAATAAATTAATGATAATGAATATAAATATCAATTATAAAAAGGATTATTTAATATAAACGCTATTATTTTTAAGTACAAATATATTTTTGCAATAAAATATGTAAAATGGTCTGATTATACCAAAACTGCATAACATTATTTGATCGTCTATATTACTTTCAAATAATAATAATTTTTATTTAAGTAATAATTTTATAAGCTATTTTTATAAAACAAATAATAAAATAACTGAGAATTTATTCTGAAAGCCATTAAAAATGTTTGTAATTGTTCGGAATTGATGCAGTCCCATGAATTTCAAACAAAAGAAAGGTCATACGCGCTGTCCGGCGTACAGCATGTGCGCCTAGACTGGCCCACACGTGCGGACTGGGACGCATACTTGAGGAACGTTTACAAACAAATCCCGGAAAGTACGAGCAAGTTTACGACTCGACATATAATGTACTGTAAGATCACCCAAGGGTATTACTCCTACTTTTCTCTCGTCGAACATTCTCGAAGGTTCTAGATTTTTCCTTCGACGCCTCGTGTAAGAATTAGTCCAACAACGACGATGCCTTATTGCCAGCTAAGTGAGCCGCCGAGTGGCTATATAAGGGACGCACGTGGCGCGCCTCTACCTCTTGCTGAAGATACCTCTTGCAGAAGATACCTCTTGCTGAAAATCATCTCTTGCCGTACCACCATCGCTCAACTGCGCTTGCGGCTAACATCTTGCCGTGACCCGACCGCAGTGAACCGACCATAGTGAACCGATCTAACCATCTACCAGTAAAAGCCATGACACACGGGTCTCGATCTGCCCTCAGCAGGACCGCCATGGAACGGTCGGTATTTTCAGCAGAGCCGCCACGGAACGATAGCATACATACGCTCTCTCGAATTGATCCTTCGACATCGTACAGGCCCGCTAGCAGAACCAGGGCACACTTACGCACTCTCGAACTAACCACTCGACATCGTACAGGCCCTGAACAGCTGACGCAAGAGTCACTGGGGTTCACACACATTGTCAAAGAAGGATAACAACAGATCGACTAATAGACTATATAAATACAGATTATTAAATCCTTCACGAATTAGAAATCTTACCATTAATTGCTTTTACCTGTGACTAGATTCTTCTACTGTCCCCTTACATAATTAAAGACACAATTGATTACTTAATGCATTCCATTAAACATCTTACATCATATCAAGTATAGTTATTCATACTTCAAACATACTTGATTCAACTACCATCTTCTCATGCTACCTCACAAGCATGATTGATTGACTACATCAGCATTACCTCAATTTCAAGATACTTAGTCATATCCATGGAAGCTACAATAATCAAGAATACAAGAACACACCCTCATTACTTCAATAGAATTATCTCTCTCTTCACAACAGTGCAATATTATTATAATCTTTTACAAATAATAAACATTGTTTTTGCTAAATACATAATATTTTTCAGCCTTATCACTTATTATTTCCATTGAAGTTATCCTGCCAAGAGACTAATCCACTGAACTATTGAATTGGTAGTTCGAGCCATAAACTAACCCTTTAAAATCGAACAGTAATATATAATATATTACTTGTTTTATTGAATTTAATTATTTAAATTAATTTATGGGATTATTTGATGATATTCTTTTTATTGAATTGTACTTTCATATTCAAATAGTTAATTTATAAGTTTTGTTATATATGAATTTATCATTATTATGAAAAAATAAATGCTAATGTTTTTCGACTAGCCTTGTTATTCAATGACAACTTTTTAAAATCATTTTCTTTATAAATATTTTTTATTGTTTTTATTTATATGGTGATTATTATTTGGAAAATTATTTATTTAATTGTATTGCTTTTTTTTGTTGATTTTGAAAATTAATGTTAATATTGAAAATTATATAAAATTACTTTTTCTTTTATTAAATCGGAAAATTACTATTTTATAATTTTATGTATTATACACAAAATTTGAAAACATTGAATTCTATATTTTTAAGGTGTTGAACTATCTAAATAATTTTTATCATCCAAGTCACTTAAAATTTTAAAAATGAAAATGAAATAAATACTTTTATTTTATTTAATTATTTTATCTTATATATTTTAACACTATTTTACTGTATACAAATATGTGAATAAGATGGATGTTTTTAAAATATTCTCTTAGAATATATATGGATTTATTAAATGAATGGATAATTACATTTTAAATCCGCATTCGCATGTCGGCGATATATCGTAATAACAATAAATGATGATAAGTAGTTTGCTGGTGATGCCAGACTATGTCGTCGCCCTCAATGCGGTCTGACTAGAGTCAAGTTGCGGAAGCAAGGCCAGCAATAGATAATAAATAATGTAAACAAATAAGTATACCTTGCACGGATTCCCGTAGACAGACGTGTAGAACTTTAAACTGTTATAACTTGTACTATTTCACTTTGGCTTACTCAACAAGACTGATTTGCTTCGTCGTCTTTTGCTCCTTATATATGATTTCGTAAATTTAGAATTTGTCATTTTTGGAAATTCTGGGAAATTCCCGGAAAGCAAGCTTTAGTAGGTTCGAGAATTTTCCTTAGTCGCTATGCGGATAAGTTATAAGGATTTTTTAGGTAAAGGCTTTAACGTTTATCGACATTTTTTGTAGCAAATAATTCAAATATTGTGAATTATAATTAATTTAAATTTCATAGAATAAAACTTTATTGTTGGATGGTCAATCCTGAACATTCCGCTCACCATCAGCATTGTAGTTGATGATTTCCGTCATTCTCTAGGATAGGTAGGACCGCCAGTTTGTGAATTGCTCTGACTATCGTGTTGGGGGAACTCTTTACTGTGACGACTCTAGTTAGGCCGTCTGCGCCTGGATGGATTTCAATGACTCTGGCGAGTGGCAACTTGTTGTTGCAAGTAATGTGTTGACCACTGTAACCAGAGTTGTTTATAAACTTCAGCGAGTTATTTCTGAAATTGACAAATCCTTTAGAGATCGTTTCCCATTGAGAGTAGTCGTTCAAGAAGGTCTTAGCTGTCTGTTATTGTTCTTGGGAGCCTTGTGAACAGTTTGTAGGATGCTTCTGAAAAATGTCGGAATGCCGCGCTAAATCCGTCTCTCAAAATTTTACTTCTCTCTGTCTAGAGTTTTATTACTAAAGTAACTGGCATAGTCAACACCTGCGTTTGATAACGGTTTGACGGTTTACTCGAGACAGCGGTAATTGGCCCGTTAAATGTTGAGCATGGATTCCCTTTCTGTCATGCACATGTAATGCATCGTAGTGTGTGAGACTATTAAATTTCATAGAATAAAACTTTATTGTTGGATGGTCAATCCTGAACATTCCGCTCACCATCAGCATTGTAGTTGATGATTTCCGTCATTCTCTAGGATAGGTAGGACCGCCAGTTTGTGAATTGCTCTGACTATCGTGTTGGGGGAACTCTTTACTGTGACGACTCTAGTTAGGCCGTCTGCGCCTGGATGGATTTCAATGACTCTGGCGAGTGGCAACTTGTTGTTGCAAGTAATGTGTTGACCACTGTAACCAGAGTTGTTTATAAACTTCAGCGAGTTATTTCTGAAATTGACAAATCCTTTAGAGATCGTTTCCCATTGAGAGTAGTCGTTCAAGAAGGTCTTAGCTGTCTGTTATTGTTCTTGGGAGCCTTGTGAACAGTTTGTAGGATGCTTCTGAAAAATGTCGGAATGCCGCGCTAAATCCGTCTCTCAAAATTTTACTTCTCTCTGTCTAGAGTTTTATTACTAAAGTAACTGGCATAGTCAACACCTGCGTTTGATAACGGTTTGACGGTTTACTCGAGACAGCGGTAATTGGCCCGTTAAATGTTGAGCATGGATTCCCTTTCTGTCATGCACATGTAATGCATCGTAGTGTGTGAGACTATATTGAAGGTCGTCCGCCAAGATCCAATATGGCTGTCGTTTGTGCCAAGGTATGTAGGTGACCAAGGTGAGTTGAATATAAGCTATTAAAGGATTTGTTACTTATTGTCACGGCAGAGTTGACGTGTGCCTTCAGTAGTATGACATATGAATTCAGAATTCTTCTTACACTTGGATAATTCTTTAGGAAACGGTTCTCAAATAATTGCAAGCGAGTTCCGATGACGTAAAAAATACAACATGCTATCCTTGTACATGTTGTTTTCGTCCCTTATAGCCCCTTTGAGTTATTCTTCCAATACCTTTATCTGCTGTACTCTTGTTGAATACTTCCACAGAGGTGAATTCGTGTTTTCTTCAAGGAGGATTTGCTGAGAAGGCTTGAATCTCAGTTATTGGTAATGTGGCGAGGATCCATTCAAGGTGTTGTTGAAAGGGTGAGTGCATCTTCTTGAAGACTCCATTGTAATTAATTTTATATTGTACAATTAGCAATACAATTTACACTTCTTGCTTTCTGACGGCTTGATGGCGGTGAGGGCAGCACTATGAATTAACTGCCATTTTTCTTACTGGGAAACCGCCCACCATGCAGCGGCTCAGCAGTGCGTTTTCGATCGTAGTGCGGCGTGTTCTCACCTCCAAGAATCATGACATGTCTGCCATGCGTGATGGATGGCACAGCCAGGGACAACCTTTCTTCCTAGTCTTCCGCCAGTAGCTTTAGTGTCCTGATTGCTATTAACGAAGCAGATCTTGTGTCTCGGCTACATTAGTCAAATGATTGATACCTCCTTGTGGTTGTCAATCCAATGGATTCCTTGTAGGACCTAGTTGTCGTCATGATCTTGTATCTGCAAATGGCGATGTCGGTGGATCACGATTACCACGTCTGACATTTTCTTCTGTCTTTTGAGATTGGCACCAATGTACTTGATGTCATTAATACGTTTGCATTATTTCTTCAGTTGAAGACTGATAACCTACAATTGCTTGGGTTGGGCTCTTGTACTGTTCGTTATGTAGTGGTGTATGATGCCGCCCAAAGCATCTGTTGCAATTTCTGTGGGTGGTGCACTTGTAAGTGTAGTCGGGCGCTAAGCCAGTTGGACCATAGTCGTGCTCTTCCTTGAAACGTTTACTCTCCGTGACTGACAATTGCTTGAATCTGGGTTATGCAGTCACTGAATGCTGTTGCTGGCAATATGTGCATATGATAGTCCTTTGGTGTCCTGGTTGGACTTAGAAAGTCGTTGCAATAACTGATTGATACGTTCTCACTGATCCTTTTGTGGATGATTGTATCTGGGTACGGCTTCCCATTGAAGCAACTCGTTTTTTATTTTTTTGTAACGCTCTCACTCTTGTCATTATAAATGTTCTTTAATTGTTCGAACTTAGGTTTGGTGTTGGATTCCCCTAGTGATTCTTGTACGCTGAGTGAGTCTGCGTTAGTTGATGGACAGTTATGTAGTCTCACGAGTTGCTATCCAGTTATAATTGTTGCAGCCCCTTTAGTGGTCATTTGCGTAACGAATGAGGTATTCTAGTGATTCAGCCTCATCTTCTACTCGTGATGTGTTGGTATAGAGTAGGTCCTGGTGGGATTGGCCGTACAATCACGAATTCTGATACCTTTCGGCTCTCAGCTCTTGGCTCTCGGCTCCTGGCTCTCGGCTCTTGGTGGTGTTTGAACTGATTCCCTTACCTCCCAACGCAGCTTGTCGAGTGCGGCTTGTACGCGATTCTAGCTTCCGAGTTCTTCTATTTTCCAATTACAAGGATGATTATTGTTGAGGAAGTTATAGATGAACCCTTGTTACTCTTTGGTGATTTGAACGTGGCGTTAGTGGGCACTTCGTTTGGAGGTAGGAGGTTGTAAAGCTTTCAGCACTTCTTCGAGTAGTGACACGTGGGAAAGCTGTGACTGCGTCGTGCTCGTAGGCACAAGGGACTTCTACTATAGGTTAGGTTCAACACGGTATGGAATTGAAGGGGCGACGCAGGCTTCTCGCATCGCGCGGACTAAAACCTCCATGGGCCCGTACTGGTTGCTGAAGATACCGTGTGGAGGAACGAGAGTCGTAGACGATGCTGATTTACTTTGTTACTTGCGAGGTGACTGATTAGGCTTGGTTCAGATCCAGTTGAGCCTTCCCCCTTTATTGGTGCATTCAACATGAATAAGTGGGTGAGTGAATGACTGAATGACTGAGAATGTGAGCTGCTCAGTTACTGAGTAACTGAGCCCTCCGCAATTATTGCGCATTCTTTGTAAAGTATTCGTGATGTAGCAAGGCTGCTGACCATGATTCATCTAACTAGGCTTGTTCCTTATTAAATGCCTTGTGAAGCTCGTCAACTCCATTTCGTGCGACTTAGAAGGTTTTAATGGTGATATTTTAGATAAATGACACATTCTTCCATGTGTTAATACCGAGGTAATCCATTAGCTCCACTATCTGGCTCGAAGGACCAAACGGTTCGAATTCCAGCCACCAGAATGGTCCGCAGACCAAGGTGGTTGGATTAGACTGTACCGCCGGTTTAATGGGGGGGGGGGTGATAATGCATCAATTCAGCGTAAATACATTTGGTTTTAGTGACTTTTATTTAAGGCTATGTTACATTAGCAGTTCTTGTTACCGATCGTTATGAGAATTATTGAGCTTGTCGTGAATTTAACAGTTGGCAATAACTGTAGAACGTCGTCCGAGTGCGCAAGGTGAAAGTGGTCTTTTCGTACTATAGGTGCTTTATTGTATCAGCGAAACGAAAGCAGGAACTGTCGGCGCTTTAATTGTACTAGCGAAACATAACAGTAATTAGAGGAGCTAAACTCTATCTGTCGGCGCTTTAATATACTAACGAAACGTAACAAGAGCTGTCGGCGCTTTAATGTACTAGCGAAACGTAACAGTAGCTGTTGGCGTTTTAATGTACTAGCGAAACGTAACAGTAATTACCGATGCAAAAGTCGCAAGAGACGCGTGGCCATGGGCACTTTCATTGACGATATGAATTGTGGGGACTATCTGGTCAATGTCGGTGGCCTCTTCCGCATTCTGATAAGAATCAAGTTGCAAAGGTCTGACCGATAATGTCGGCGATATGTCGTAATAACAATAAATGATGATAAGTAGTTTGCTGGTGATGCCAGACTATGTCGTCGCCCTCAATGCGGTCTGACTAGAGTCAAGTTGCGGAAGCAAGGCCAGCAATAGATAATAAATAATGTAAACAAATAAGTATACCTTGCACGGATTCCCGTAGACAGACGTGTAGAACTTTAAACTGTTATAACTTGTACTATTTCACTTTGGCTTACTCAACAAGACTGATTTGCTTCGTCGTCTTTTGCTCCTTATATATGATTTCGTAAATTTAGAATTTGTCATTTTTGGAAATTCTGGGAAATTCCCGGAAAGCAAGCTTTAGTAGGTTCGAGAATTTTCCTTTGTCGCTATGCGGATAAGTTATAAGGATTTTTTAGGTAAAGGCTTTAACGTTTATCGACATTTTTTGTAGCAAATAATTCAAATATTGTGAATTATAATTAATTAAAATTTAATGGAATTATATATTAAACAAAGCAATAGATTCTCATTGCTGGATGCTTCAATCCTGAACATTTATATATAATATTTTTTTGAGTTTAGTTGATATCAATGCTGATAATTTCAAAATATTATAAAGAAAAAACTACGTTTTCTTTTATACAAGTATTATATGTTAACAAGATATATATAAAAATAGAGATACATTTAAAGTTATGAAAATTTTTTATATATATTATCAATAGAATTTGATTAAATAAATTCTTCTAGTATAATTTAATAAATAATATATTTAGATAAATTTAATAATTGTCATAGAAAAGAAATAATTATTGTAAGATTTTATTACTCTTTTTATTTTTATTATTCTCAATTAATCATATTTTTTACATGTAAATTTTTTACATTCTTTTAAAAATACACATCAAATATTTTTAAACTATTTTAAACTATTCAATTTTCAATATAAATTCAAGTTAAATATTGATAACTTATGTATAAATATTTATTTTTGTAACTGTTTTATGAACATTTCAGCATACCTTTCCAAATAAATAGAATATTTATATACAAAAATTAATTTTAATTATCGAACCAATTATATTTATTTTTTAAACGAAAAATTTTTGTATCATGAATTATACAATATTATTTATTAATATTCTCTATACATTCATTATAAGATATTTAGTAAAAATTTTGTATATAAAATCGTTTATAGTGATATCGAAATTTACTTTATTATAATATTCCAGTAGAATATAATATATATACATATATACGAAATAATTAATTTAAAAATTAATTTTCATATAGTGTGTTGCACACTACAATACATTTTATTGATTCAAATCCGACTTTGTAAATGTGGTATTTTCTCTTACCGAATGTCAATTTAAGTATTGAATGTACAAAACATTTTTTTCTTACAATTTGTTACATTTATTTTTATTCAAAACTAGTATAAAGATAGTCATGTTTTAGATAAATATATTCCTTTATTAAATAAGAACATTAATTTTACAAATAAGAAAGTAGCAATCATCACTCACTTGAATACATTTCTGTTTATTTTAATAATATTAATTTAATGTTAATTTAGTAAAATTACCAATTTATAAAACATGTATATAGTAACGGGTATTAATCATAATTACCTTATTATTTCTTTCTACAGCTTCCCTTATGATCGAGCTCCATTGCATTACGATTTCATCTGTATCGGCTGCAAGATGTATGGTAGGAGCACCGTGCTTCTTGATGACAAAACTGTGCGGTCGCAATTCATGCGTCAGCTCTACATCATATTTAAGCAGCATCACTGCACCCATTGGCTGTGAATTCTGGAAATAGTCATTTCTTTATACATCACTACGTTTAAGTATCTTACTTAACTTTAATATGTCTTGATACAGTAACTATTATGTTTTTGTAAGCGTACAATTGATATATATATAGAATAAAATTAATAGATTTTATACTACCATATAAAATACTTAAGGTAACTAAAAGTATAACATGAAAAGAAAATTGAAATTTCATGAAATAAATATTTATATAAGTAATAAATAGACAATATATAAATTTACATTTATATTTACTAATTTCTTTTTATTATTTCTAATTTGTATTTATTAAATTGTTAAGTAGTTCGTAATCTAGGCACAATTTACAATAAATTGGGGATTTAAAATTTTAAAATAAAGAAACAGTTAAAATAAACCATTTCTACTGACATAAAATGTTAAAAATAAAATGGATAAATCAAAATATCGTCTCAATTTACAAAGTTGTTTCTCATTCTCTCTTTCTCTGTCTGTCTCACTGTCTCTAACGATTTATCTTGAAATATTGTAATAAATCTTAAATTAATTAATTACCATTGACTATTATGATATTGATTATTATAAAATTTTACCAATTGATATTGTTAAGATAAAAAAATTGTGAAAATGATTAGAGGAAAATTTGGTATCTTCATTGCTTATGAATAATTTAATTATAGTGATTACTTTACATAGAATTTCATACTAATTTCACAATCAAGTTGATTCTATATTAAGATAAAGCGCAATTGAATATACCGTGTTAGACTTGTAGTAATAAAGGCAATTGTCAGGACGTAGGGCAAACCAGCGACGCACCCACTTGTCCTGTAAAGCTGACGACGAGGATATGACGGATCTTGTCTTTTTCCATAAGTATCCTGAGTACAGTGCCGGTTCCTGCTTTGCTTCTTTATGCCCTTCTTTGCCTACTTGAGGTGCCAGAACGTTATAGGTTCTAGCAACCTCTAGTTCCAGCACATCCGAACCAGAGTGTGCGAGCTTCACCACTTCCGAATGCGTTGCCTCCATTACGCTTTTGCCATTCACTGACATTACAATATCGCCTATTTCTAGGCCTGAACTTTCTGCTGGTGTATCCGGTTCAATCGCTGACACGACAACTGGCTTAGAACCGTGGATGCGGAAGCCAAATTCACCACCGGTCTCACGCTTCACTATCACTCTTTTGTCGCTCTCTGAAAATTTTCATTAAAAATTGAAATGCAGATAATTTACTAGAACTAAACGAAATCAGTCTATATTTATACTAAATTTCTATATTTATATTAACCTAGCTATAAAGAAATTTTATACCGTATTATTTATATGTTATAATTTTTTCAATCAAATCAAGTTCTATGAAATTTGTATTCTTATTATAATTTAATTTAGATCAATTAGTCCAAATCTATAATTATACAATTCTTTAATGTCATCTACATAAAAATATAAATAATGATATAGAGAAGAAATATTTTTAAAATATCAATAATTACTTACGTATTTATTACATGGTAAATATATGATTAATTCAACTTTTTTTTTAATTTTCTAAAGTAATTTAATTAAATAGGAATTAAAGGAATTAATTCAAAAGTATTGTAAAAATTACCTCTTCATGAAATTAAGTTACAATAATAGATTAACAGTTGAATAATAAATTATTTTTATTCTTATTAATCTAGAGATAAGAGATAAACTTGTATTCCATGCTTGTTTGTAATGTTTTGTTGGAAATCAAATATCTAAATTATTTATGTAAAATTAATTATAATTTTAAATATATTTTTATATAAATATCTGTATTTATTTTGTTTTTAGTTGTATTGACAGTATGTATAAATTACAATATTAGATAATATTTTAAATAAAAATAATATAAAAACTATATCAATATATATATATATATATATATATATACTTTTGTAAAATATGGATTGAAATATTAGTATGCCACGTAGTTTACTTTAATCTATTATAATTTTATAAATTTCATAATAATTTTACAAAAAATAAAAATTATATTATTACTTTATTATTTACTATGTATATATTTTAATAGGTTATTGAAATTTCATATTTACATTATATTAATTCTTAGAAATAACAGTTTTCGAAAAGTTTAAAATAATTTTTATCAGTATAATTTACAAATGTATGATGCGTATGAGCGATAATTTATAAATCATAATTTATAAAGAATAATCGATAAAAAGAATAATATTCCTACGAAAGAATAATATTTGAATATAAAATTACATAAAACTACAAGAAAAAATTATTTTTCAATCAAATTGTGATATGAATAAAATATAGATATCAATATCTGTTCACCACATTAGCAATAACTGAGATTCAGGCCTTCTCAGCAAATCTTCCATGGAAAAAACACAGCTCGACTCAACAAGAGTACATAACTCGACAAGAGTGCAGCAGATAAAGGTATTGGAAGAATAACTCAAAGGGGCTATAAGGGACGAAAACAACATGTACAAGGATAGCATGTTGTATTTGTTACGTCATCGAGACTCGCTCGCAATCATTCGAGAACCCTCTCCCAAGGAATTATACAAGTCTAGGAAGAATGATGAATTCATTTTTGGCATACGACAGACGTCAATTCTGACGTCAAAAAGCAGACGTCAATTCTGCTACACCAATAAGTAATAAATCCTTTAATAGATTATACTCAACTCACCCTGGCATACAAACGACAGCCATATTGGATCTTAGCGGATGACCTTCAATATAGTCTCACACTCTACGATGCATTACATGTGCATGACAGAAATGCAATCCATGCTCAATATTTAACGCTCGCCACGCACCGAGGCGCACTGTACTTTTAACATCCACTCAGTCGCCACACACCTGGCTCACGGTGTTTTTACTATCTACTCAGTTATCAATTATAGCTCACTGTAATTCTACTACTCGCTCACTCATCTGTTATTATTAACCAGTGTACTTTCAATCTATCTAGTATCAGTTATCACTGACGACTACGAAACTTAGCCGCAAGTCTGACAATCGACCTACAATATATGCGTGCATTATTAACAGAATCTGCAACAACAAGTTAGTAATTTAACAGTGAAGCCATCAAAATTTGTAATCAATAAAGTCCGTCAGCCTAGAAGTCATTCAGCATGCCGTGTCGGTAGTTCATAAGGTACATTCGTTTTATTATTTCTACAAGCTAGTTATCCACGCTCGAATCACGTTTCATATAAAGCCAGCCAAGAAAGGTGAAGCAATACGCTTTCTCAGGCCGATCCGTTTCCAATCCGTTTAATTACATTATCAGGGACAGACAACAGTTTTCAAATAGTCGACTATAACTCCATTTTATCAAGTCCTTCCATACCTGAAGGCATTTATCGTTCTTGCGTGTGACTAGTTCTCTAATACTCCCATGGTCGATTTACGTAAGAACCACCATAGAGACTACAGTATTTTCTCCCTTTAAGTATGTTTACTCGTCCTACTAACCACTATTAATTACGATTACCATCTTTGCATGCTCATTGATGAGTATGGTCAACCAATCATGCTGATCCTTAAACATCAGCATAAACCCAACTTAAAATCAACGACATCGTCACCACTTCGAAGAAGCATCCTCACAATATCAATAGAATAATTCCATTTCTCTTACATTAAACAATCAGAAAACTGCAATATTATATTTATTATTAAAACAGAATAAACGATGTCTTAATTCAAGAATATACATAATCCATGTCTACAGCTCTTCTACTTGTGCTTTTTTCTATTAATCGCTACGGCGGGAGACTAATCTACTGAAATATTGAATTGGCAATTCGAGCCACAAAACAAACCCCCAATTTTGAACAATATAATTTTTATTACACTATACAATTTATATATAATTATGAAATTCAATTCACAAATTTATATAAAAATATATCATAAATATTAGTATATTATACATAATTTTATATAAATAAATATATTGTATTATAATTAATACCATTAAATTATTTAAAAATAATTATTGGCATAGATCTGCGCGTATAAATTTAATCTTATATAACATTTTCATTTAATTTTCAATAACTAATAACTTACAAATATATTTAATATAATTCGAAGCATAAAATTCTTTAAAGTTTTTCTTATAAATGTATTTGTATATGAGAAGACGAATTCAGTAGCTGAAATTTAAGTAGATAACTCTATTATTGGTGTGTTTTTATTTGCAATACACACTATAATTTGTTTATCGGTAATTATTCTATTACTCGTGACTTTATTTTTGAATCACTTTAGCTAATTATTCTTGCTTACGTTTATATAACAAACTTGGCAGAGTTGCCAAAAACGTGAGTCAAGGTGAATGAACAATTTCTAACAATGGCATTGTTAGAAATATGTCAGACTTTATATAAGAATGTGTAATTACTTTACAAAATTAATAAAAATCATAAATAAATTTTAAACTATTAAATTATTCAGAATTAATGTGTGTTATAAGTTAATTTAAGATAATATTTTCTTCGCTCAGAAGTATTAATAGGAGTTAAAAGTTTTTCGATATTAAAATTTCTTTCAAATAATTTTTACCGCTATAATTTATTTCACTTAATTTATTCAATTAAAAAAGATGTGTTTATTGATACAATATTAACTAATTTATTTTGTTATAATTTTTGTAACTTCGTTCAAGGATTTGCTACTTTTTATATAAATATGAAAAAGTGTTGAAAATTGATTTAGATGCGTTTAAAGTATTTTACTTTATACTAATTATTTAATTAAACTTTTTATTTACTTAATAATCGGATGCTTTTTATAACTATTTATGTTTAAATTATAGTTTATGGTTAAGGAATTCATATATAGAAAAATACTAAATATAATTTACTGAAAAACTTTGTTTTTATTTTTTATATAATGATATATAATGATATATAAAATAATCCATTATGAGAAATGTAAAGTTATGGAAGTAACGATTTCGTTAATTCATTCAAATTTCAGTTTCAATTTAGTGTTTTTCAAGGGTATATAATGTAACTTCTCAAGTTTAAGGCTTAAGGATTATATTTAAGGCATCTGTACTATCTACAGTTCCTTAGAGTATATGTTTACATCGATGACGTTGCATCTGGAAAAACGTTAATTTACTTGTTGACTTTAAAATCGATGCTTTTAATTAGGTTAATGTATAATTATATTATATTTGACATTAACCATGAAGTAATCAAGTAATAGTTAAGAGCATTAAGTGGAACATAATCAGCGTAATGTAATAATTTCAAATTGAATTCATTTAGTATCTATTAGACTGATAATCAACAGCGATACAATATTGAAAATTGCTTTATAAATTTAAATTAATTACATCTACTACACTTTTTCTCAAGTAATGCTTTGGTTGATTATAACTTTATAAGTGAACTATAACGAATTCTGGTATAACTTAGCTTATTCTCTAAATGGGTTTCATAAAAATTCGGAACTTATGTGTTACGAAATTATTTTATCTTATATTAGATTCTCATTGATCATTCATTTCTATACATAATTAGATATAATACATAATTTTCATTTATATATATTCTCGTTTAATAATTTGAAATTAACTGTACGATTATAAATTCGAAAATACAAGGTACAAATAAAAATAAATAAAAATAAAAATTTTAATTAAATGAATTTAACATTATGAGAATCATATATAAATATGTGATTCAAAATTTAAATATTAAATGTAAATTTAAAGGAAATAGAAATATAATATATAACGGCACAAGAACTAGATAGAGAAGATTAATTAAAGAAACATTTGCACACGAAACGTTTTTCAAACGTAAATTTTAACCTTGATACCAGAATTTTCAAGAACGCCGAGTTTTGTAAGGGCTTGTCCTTCAGTGCACCAGACTCTCAACATGGACTTGAGAAGTTCCTCAAGAGAACTCTTCAAAGTACCGGTGATGTGCTCTTGGCTTAACTGGGGCAAGCACTCAGTGCCTGCAGAATCGCACACCATATTCCCTAGCAGATTTCCCTGGAGCACGACGACGATAGATATTGAAACGCGAATTTATTAAATGTAATTATAGAGACTCTTTGATCACCTTCGATAATCTACAAGATACTGCAAGCTTATTCACAATGAGGATGTACTCTTCGAACGCAGCGGCCCTGCGAAATGTAAAGAGAAACTGCCCTGACCTACTGGCTGCTACAGCCAAAATAATCTTTCTCCTACTTGAATACCGCGACGTGTATCAAAGAAAATAGAGAAAGAGATTACATATTTACAGCACGGAGCATGATGACATCGATTATATTTAGTCTAGTGTGCGCGACGACGTTGATATTACGCGAGTACTTATTTAAAAAGTCACAAATAATGTGTGTAGAGAAATGTAGGCTACTTACGAGTTCTATCTTTTTGTGGGATAGCATATTTCATTAAACCTGTGTACGAGAATCATGTGCCTTTATTAATTAGATATTTTTATTCTTATATATCCTTGTTTTTAATGCGATCTCAGTGACATACGACCATATGATATTTTTAAATGTATATATTATAAGTAATCTTTAAATCTAATTCTAAAATTATAATAATTATAGAGTTTTTACTGTTTCTTTTGGAAAGTAATTTACATTATACGGTTAGCGCTATTTTCTTTACATCCTTAAATTATTCTAATAATTTATCACATTTTTTAGTTAAAAATTGAGTTTCATTCTGAAGTAGTAAAATAAGGTTTATTTATTGTACTTTTAAAATTTAATATTTCTTGCAACGTAATATAATTGATTTTAAATTACATGGTCTGATAAAATGTAAAATTATTATATAATTCTGTTATATTTTTTAAAACTCAAAAAGAAAAGGTATATAATTTAATGAGATTTGTAATACAGTAAAGAATCCAATAATTTGAAACTTGATTGTTATAAAATAATATAATTAAAAAAAAATTTCTCAATGAATTGAAAAATAATAGTAAGATAAAAGTTTTTTTATTTAAATAAAGGAATAATATGAAAAAATTAATGATTGAATAAACTTAAATAAAAATACCGCATATTTATATAACATATTTTATATCATTTAAATATTATTTGTATACACGTACTTATTTTCTTATTACTATTAACAAAATGTAGCCTCAAATACTTTAAGTAAATAATTTTATTTTTTAAGTTATAACATAAAATATTTTTAATATCAAATTTAAAGTAATTAAATTAATGATGATTACATAATGAGTTTTATGTTTAGTGTATTTCAAAATAATTTACAACACCGTTAGATTTCATTAATAAAATGGTAAATAAATTATAAAGATAGATTATAAATTTGAATTTCTAATAAATTAAAAAGTAATTAAAATATTGAATTTAAGCTGTTTACAATACAAATATTTGGTCGGGAAAGTTTTTATATTTAATAACTGGGTATGTACACGTTTTAATCTCTGATCTTCATGAATTATTAAATTATTTTAATACTTTGATTTATTTTAATTGCTTACCGTATACAATTGTTTTTATATATTTTAAGAATTTATATTTACATTTGAATATATTAAATGTATAAATTATATTTTTTAATTATAATACATGATAAAACTAATCAGCGAATTATATTCTTTAAATTATTTTTTAAAATAATGTATTAATAGAAAGTCTTAAGATACTGGTTTAACTATAAATTCGGAGAAAATTGATGAAGATGAGTCGAAGATAAGAGTTTTAAATAAGAATTTTTCATTAATATAAAAGGTTATTCCAAATACGTTATATAATTATTTATAACTTAATTTTAATTATATAAATTAAAAACAGATTCACGCAACGAAATTCTAATAAATATTTGCATTTGTATTCCTTTATTTTAAACCAAATGTGAGATATTCATTAAATTATTTTAATAAATTGCATTAAATATTACATTGAATAACTTACATTTTGAAAAGTAATACATATATTTACAGCTTATCTAAATTGATAATAATAAATGTATGGAAAAATAAGCTGCGAATTCTTGATTAATATATTTTTTTTACTGTAATGTTGAGATTTGGAATTATATTATGCAGAAATAAAATCGAAGCTACAGATTTCTAAAGATTCGGAATGATAAATATGAAATATAAAATCAACTTACCAAAACACTTAGTTTGTATCCTTTTATACATTTCGCCACTACTTTTTCGATGTACCATCCTATGCGTAGCCGCTTGGTATTTTTGTCTAAAGTTTCTTTCACTATCTGTAGATTCCTGGGATACTCTTCGTTCCGTATACCACTCTAATTCATCGTCGCCATCCTTACTATCAGGTCGCTTCCATACCTGGCTCTCTTCCAATTCTCCAATGTAGATCCATTCGCCACTCGTATACGGCTCAACATATGCGTCTTCATCTTCTCGACCTTTTGGGTTATTTATTTATTAAATCATGTTTTTATTACGTTTATTGAAAAAATATTAGATTATATTATAATGTATATTGTGTCATCGCATCTCATATTCTGAAGCTACAATATGTTATATTTTTAATGAAAATTACTAATTTAAATAATAATATTCGTATTGTTTTATTTTGAGATAATTATATTTTTATAATAATTATACACTTGTGTTTTGTATATTTTTATAATTAATTTAATTTTATTTGGTGATAATAATACTAAATAATTCTAAATAAATCATTTAAAGTAATGTATTTCATTGAATTTTAATTTTTTTTTAAATACATTTTTAATAACAATACTTCATAATAATATTTAAACAAAATTATAATTAATTTAATATAAGTAAACTTATTAAGGTTAAACATTATGTTTATAAATTGATGTATAATTTGTTAAAACATTTTAGTCAAAATCATTTTATGAACATGAAATTAAATTTCACGAATTTTAAATAATCTCATGTATTTATATGAAATAAATAATATTATTTAATGTTCTTTCAGTATTCGCCATTTTCATATGAGTAAATTATGTTTGTCGTGTATTGTAGAATTTCAAATATTTTTAAATATGCATCTAGTGTATATATTTATCAAATACCATAAATTAATTCAACAAATAAAGCGTTTTTATATTTTGATTATTATATTCATTTATCAGATAAATGTTATTGTATTATTTATTTTATATAACTCATTTTGTATACATTCATAGAAAAATATACAATTTATAAAATAGTGTAAACTATTTTTGCTTTTATTTTTAAAAAATTTAACAATTCTAATGTATTATATTCAGCTAATAGTTGTAAAAAATCTCAATTCATTTCTGTTATTTAATTTTGTGCAGAAATATTATGTACAGATATATTATTTGATAATGAAAAAAAGGAAATTAAGTGTACCCGTTAAGATTTCCATGCTTGCTTCAGTGCTTCGAGTGTGAAGTCTTTTTCTGTTAAACTCCTCTTCGTATCGATTGTTCGGTTTGCCACCTCTTTCCTCGGATTTGGCCCGAACGTCTGATCGTCCTACGCAGTTTTGATGATGACGTCGATCGGCATGATCTTCAGATCTATAACGCTTATCGAATTTTTTGAATAATCGTTGACCCACTATATGCTTCGATGTTGATCGATGGCTCGCTCCTGGAGAATCTGCAAATCCTGCTGGAGGTTGAACGATTTCTTCGTGCACCTTTAAAATCAATCCATAATTAGTTATAAATTTAATAAAAAATATTCTTATTAATTAATAAGATATATTAATTTAATTAAACATTAAATAAAATTGAATAAAAGATATATATATATATATAAAGTATTTACTAATAAATTTATTATTAAATATAATTATATAATTTAATTATACAATAAAAATATTGATATAAAATCTTAATCAAATTATTACAAATATTATAAATTTAATTTTAGTTGTGAAAAAAATTGAATATCCCGTTGAATACAAAATTTGTATTAATTCATGTGCAATTAGTGTAATTTTATTTTTATGATAAGAAAAAACTATTTTATTAATATTATATTTTTGATTTTGTAGGTTCACAAATATTTCGATCTTTATGTATTATCAATGAAAATAAATATTATATATTTGTATTTATATCTATATATTAAAAGGTGAATTTCATATATGATATTTTATTTAATATTAATAGTAGATATTTGCATTAAATGTAAAGGATTACACTAATATTGTAATAAAATATGAATACATTTTAAGAATTTATTTAATTTATATTTAGAATGTGCATTAATGATCAATTTAATAATTTAATTCTGTTCCTTTGAAATATTCAGAGGATTGTTCTACAAGAATATATGCCACGAATAAGAAATCTACCAACATTGTTTATAATTCATACAAATTGTATTTTTATCAGTTTAATATGCATAAGTAATCAAGAATGGTACATTATATAAGAAATGGTATATTATATAAGGAATGAAAAAAACGAATAAATGTAAAATGACCTCTCTTCCGCAATGATGACAGTGTGTTTGGTCCAGATACCCGTCCTCGAAATTATAAAAAACGTTGTCGCTGCCGGGGCTCACGGATCTGAGACTCTCTGCCGAAAGTGCCTTCAGTCTTACTTCAGGACTTGATGACTTCGCAATGTTTGTTGAACGGCCATTGCTGTTACCCGAATTCAGGTTATAACGGTTACCAATGCTAGGGCTTAGCCGACTCGAACATGAGTATTCTATAGCACGCGAACGTCGCCGTGGTAGACTCCCAGTCAGTGCTGCATTTCTATCCTGTGCCAAAGACTTTCTTCCTTGCTATTTCTCATTCTCAGATCTATTTCTCAGATTTATGATTATCGGTTAAATATTAATACGTTAACCTTGCCGATTTCTCAATCATATCAAGAAAATTAATAATTATCGATGACAATTATTAGATGTTTTCATAAAAGATTTTATCGTAATTCAGTCTGAAGGAGTTAGATCATTTGAAAGTGTTATACGTTAGTAAGACTATTCATTTCCTACTGAATATTATTTCATAATTAATGGCATAAAGAACCAAGTAATTGATGCCATATTTATGGTACTATATTTATTATGTAAATAATTTTTTTTCGGTTTCTTTAAGAATTGACAAATTTTTAAATGGAGATGGTACATTTTTATTCTGATTTTATCAAGAGTATACAAATTATAATTTTATGAATCATATATAAAAATTTTATATAATGGTATTATTTAAATTAAAGTAATTTAATGATTTTTATAAATAAATTAAAGTTTTTATTTTGTATAACAATTTTTGTACTATTCTGTTGCACGTTTCTATGTAACTGTACGTTTATGAAACTTAAAACTCCACAATTGTTACTTAAATACATTTCAACTTTTTATAGTATATATTTTTTTTAATTACTTCATGCATAGCCTATTTAACTTTATTTATATTTACTTAAGAGAATATTAACATAATACAATTTTTAATTAAGCTATATTACTGTTAATATTTTTACTTGATAAATATAATAAGTTTAAGGTATTTATTTAAAATATTAGTATTCATAGTTAGTTACATATCTTTATATTTTTTATCAATTTTAATGTAGCCGTTTTATACTTCGTGTACACATTTTATCATTGGTTTTTTGATTCATATAAAAAAATTGAATAAACGTTAATATTAATAGTAAATAATAATATTATATGAAATTACAAATAATAACGTTTGTATAATGTTTGATAGTAAAATAGATAATAAAATTAAATAATTACTTTTTTCGAAATTATAATAACAATAGCCATGATAAGATTTTTATTGTCAAAGATTTAGTCAACTAATGACATAATACTTCTAAATTAAATAATAATTGTAAGAATGCCTTGCATTTAAGAATAGAAAAAGATTTTTATTAAACAAGAATATTTAATTAAAATATCTTTTGATTATCCTCAAATAAATGGTTCAAATGATTAAGATTTTATTATAATAAAATATTTATAATAAATATAATGATATTTTTAATAATATGAAATAGCAAAAATATATATTTGTAGTTTGCATTTTTTATAATATTTAATGCTAATATTAATAGTTGAATATTTTCAATTATTCTCACATCCATTTGTATATTATGAATTTTTTAGAATAAGTTTTTTACATGACTATGCTATATTATATTGAAAATGAGCATTTATCAAAGATATGTTAAGAATTAAGTTATCTTGAGTGTTTTAATATAAATAAACCAATGAATTTGTAATATTTTTGATGTTATATATAAAAAAGACTATTAGATTTTCACACGTAGATTTAAAAAATTTATATTAATAACTCTCCATTAATTATAATAAATTAATTTAATACAATTAATTATTTTAATCGATTAATTTCTATACAAAAAGAAGTGATATAAGACCGTATAATTAGTAATAAAGTTAATTCCAGTTCTGATTTTTTTAATCTACTAGCTTCTAAATATTATACCTCGTTACTTCGTCGTCCAGCTGATGCATGTGAGCTGTTCTTTCTCCTTGGGCTATCTCTTGTCCTTCTATACCGTGTAGTTGCTAATTCGCTAGATTCTCTGTATACGTGATAATGCTGGTGATGATGGTGCATATAGTAATGGTGGCTGCAGCTCGAGTCATCGCTTGTTTGTACATGTCCAGCCTCATCCAATTGCTCGCGCCACTCGTCATTTTGTGGACTTCGGTTCAGCTGATGCTGGACCATTGCTACAGTTGTTGACTGGAGTAAGGATTCTGATGTTCCGAATGTACGGCGCTTATTACTGCGATGGGGAGAGCGGATATTGACGATTTTTGAACGGGAACGATGTCGGTAACTGGGTGTGGGACTGAAAGCTTCGTCAGCTTTTATAGATCGGCTAGTTGTTACTAAATTGGATTCATTTGGACCATTGGAAAATTCTATCCCCGATGAGAAATCGAGGGCAAAACTCTTCTTTTTGCAGTGACGTCCCCCCTCGGACCATAATTGTAATTCTGGAGGTGATTCAGCGTAACCGCCAGATGATGAGTGATGTCCTTCCTAGAATATATATAATTTTATGACTTATCATTTTTGTGCTAAACAAACACTTGAGCTAGATTCGATTTTAAATCTTTTATATAAATTATTTAGCATGCTTCTTGTATAATGTAAATAGTGCATTTAACATTTTAAAATTAACATGTTAATTATTAATTCATGGAAATTATACATTTTCCTTTTTAACTTTAATATTTCAACGTTTAATCATGTATTGCATATTTTCTCTTTTTCAAACATAAAATATGTTATGGTAAAAGGATTGAATAAAGTAAAAATTGATATATATTCGAAATACTAACATCAATTTCTTGACCACCTTCAGTACTGTGTGATGAAGGCTTATAAAGATCTTGAATGGTTTCAGGCATTGCGTCCTCGAGATCATAGCTGCCAGAACTACTACTACTCGTCGATCTCATAGGAGACGATGGTTGCTGTATAATATATTGTGGATCAGATTTGTCTTTGAGTTTGCTGGGACTACTCGGTTCCTCGAGAATAACCTGATTCATTATAGTTGACTTTATGTAGGGAACTTTTTGAAAGTTAACAGTAACTAATTAATTTAACTAACATTTATTTTTTATTCGACATTAAATTGAACAATTTTGGTTTTGGCTTATTAAAAAGAAAACGTATATACAGTTGAAAGAGTACATGTATAATGTATGAAACATATAATTAACGTATGAGTAAATAATATACGGATTAATTATACGTTAATTTTTAATTTTTCTTGGTTCGATTATGCGCGATACATTTTTAGAATACCTATGACTTCTATGCTCTTTATCAAATATTTTTTCATGATCTAATATATTTCAAAGTAGTAGATATAATATTGGATGTAATAATTGCTATATGAAAAATATCTAAAATATATAAATATATTTAAAAATATTTGTTTATTATCCGCATAAAATGATATTAACCTGTACAGTTATAAGAAATTTCTAGTAAAGTTTCGATCACTTTGAGCTTTTTAACGAATTATATTTTATGTAAAGTAAGACAATATGATCAATTATCTATAATAATACTTTGATTTCTATAAAAAAATTCAAATTTTTGTCATATCTATAAATGATGTTCATATTAAATAAATAATAGTATTAAAATGCTCAACAAACAAAATAAGATATAAATTCGTTAAATGTTATTATATGACTTTATTATATAACATGATAAAAAGTAATCGATAATACAAATCTTTAAAATTCATAGAAAAATTGGATTGATTTTATTCATAATTTAAAACGATATAGCTTGACATAAATAAATTAATAATACCTTGTAAAATAATGTATTAAATGAAAATAAATTCTTCTACGTATTTCATATTTGAACTTTTATTTTATTACATTTTATTATTTCTGTAAAACAAAATATCATCGATATTAATTAGTACACAATTTTTATACGAATTTTTATTCAAAAGTAACTTGTTTTTATTCTACTGCAGATTATGAAAATTGAAAGGTTAATGAGCTATTTGTATAATTTTGAAGTATATATAGGAATCAATTGTACAATTTTTCATTAAAATTGCTTTAAACATAGATTTTTTAAATTAATATTTAATTGGAGATTACAAACCATTGATTTTATCAATTTGAATATATTATGATGTATTAGATATTAATATACAAAAAATACTATATAAATTCGAATAATTATAAAATATATCTACAAAATTTGTAGAAGTTTCTATCCTATTAAAGTATATATCTGGGAGCGTCTTCATATTTATAGAAATATGTATTTAATGTGAAAGTCATAGATTAATAATTCAAAATGTTTTGATAACCTATTTTTAAATAGTTAAATAAATAAATTGTTATTAATTCTAATAATTTAAAATTTTTGTAATTATATATAATCTAGCAACTCATGTTTCATAATTTATTAAGTAATAATAATTTATTTACATAAATATAATTTTATAATAATATAATAATTGAAATATTCTTAAATAATTGATTTGGTTAAATTTTCACATATAGTTAGAATTTTTCAGAATATTATTTCTATATTTTAATAAACCTTCGAAATGTACCATGATTCTGCATTGCTGCAATACCAATTTAAAAAAAGTCTTGATATTAATCATACAAATGAAAATTGTACCTCGCTTCTGGTTAAACTATAAATTGAACTGGCACTTTCGAAGGAACTGCCATCTGCGGTTGTGGCAGTTGCTGCAGTGGGTCCGGAAATACCCGTAGGCAGATAGGGTGACCTCGATGGAGAGCCCGTTGTCATAGATGTACCTAAGGTGCTTCCTCTACTAGTTGTATTGGCAGTGATATAGTCATCAATCGTCGATGTTTCGCTAATATCTGTTGTGCCAGTTCTGTTGAGCCCAAACTCACTGGAAGACTGAGATTGTTGCTCAGACAGTGGTAGTCCAGGATTTCGTTGTAAAAAGCCTATCCGTGGTCGATCATTTATGCTTGAGTATGTAGTATCAACACTATGTTACAAATAAATCTTTCTAAATATTTTTATTTTTATGAAGAAGAATTTACACAATAAAAATACAAGATAAGTATATAAATAATAATATTATTGCAAATAATTGTAAGTTAAAAAATGAATCTTCAAGTAATAACTCAATAGTAATATGAATTGCATCTGGTTAACTTGAATATTAAATATTATAAAGAAAGTATAGTTTTTAAATATATTTAAATTTATTAATAGAACTTTATACGTATTTTTTTTATATATTATTATGATATTTATATGCAATTTCAGATTTGTAAGTTTCTAATCAGATAATAATAACAGTGCATCAAAAGTATTTTATATATTTAGTATAATTATGTAATTAGTATATGACATTGAAAAACAATATTTCACATTTTAAAATAATTTTAATAAATTTATGAGTTCTTTTAAATTATAAAATTTGATGTTATAAGAATAGATATAAATATTGTAGTTTATAAAAATTTACTTTTTATTTTATACTATAAGTTAATTAAGTTTTTAAGCATGAACTGTGTATTAATAACGAAAGTAAATCTTAAGGATATATGAGTTAATTAATAGCTATAGATAATATGCTAATATACAGATTTTTATCATAAAAATAAGTTGGAAACATTTACCTAGGAGCATGGGAAACGGGAGTCGAAGCTTCGAGTCTTATTCGGGGGTTTGAACGATATATACTCATGTCGTCCTCAACGTCGAGGGCATCTGTGTCTATAGAAGATCGTTGTTGATGTTGAAGTATAAGTAGGTGTCGACGCTTGGTAGATGGCGTTAGTAAAGCAAGTGAATCGGCCTGCAAAACTGTCGCCTGTGACTCGTTCCAGGTACCGTCGCTATGATCTTTTGTTCCATCGTTTCCTAAAGAGTCACTCGAGGCAAAGGACGATAGGATACTCGCATGTAGAAACTGATGTTGAATATCCATCGCTATGATCGGTGTTTCATGCGATGTACTTAGTATTTTAGAGGAAACTAATAAAATGTATTTTAAATAAACTATGTTTTGAATAATCAGATTTCATATATTATTATTTATAGAGTACTGCGAGATATTAAAATGCAAAATTAATATTACACATGACCAATTAGCTAATTTATTCATCGATGTTTTACACTATATTTTTGTTTCAAATTATATTGTAATTTATATTACAGTAATGAAAGGCTAAAAAGCAATACCTCACTCTATATAATAAGAGAATATCGACGGTAAATTGATAATTTTTTTCCATACAGTAATTTTTTTTTACGTATTGTATCACACTTAATTATTAAATGTTCAACATTGACATAGAAATAATATAATAATTAATATTGAATGAGAATTCAATTTTATTAAAATTAGAGAAACTGTATAAGCTACAATATGTTCGAGTTCTTTTTATTCTGAATTTTGAAGTATACATTATTTAAATTTTTTTGTTTATATATATATATATATACAAACATATATAATCGACATTTAATATACGTTGTAGTTATTAAAAATGGTAGATTTATAATATTATAAATATCATAAATACATGAAATGATATAAAATAATTTTATTTGTACCTGGTGTAGATGATGTCGGTGACGTTGGAAGCGATCTTGGTAGAATACATTCATTCATTGACAGAACTTGCACACCATCTTCAAGAGAAACACTTCTTTTTCGAAAAAGTCCTCGATGAATAAGATTTTCATGAAACTCCTTAAATTTAAAAAAAAAATTTAAGTATCACTTATTATAGATTGAAATTTTTAAATTTAATATGTAAAAAAGATAACTTTAATAGATAATGTAACAATTAACAATTTATAAACAATAGAGAAAGAGATTACATATATATCTTAAAAAATAAATAATTGCGTTTTAGGAAATTGTTTCTTTCTTCCAGATATTATTTTTACAATGTATGTTTATATTAATCCAGTTTTGATGTAGGACATACAAAATTCTTTTTATTTCTAAGATTTGAACTTTCACCAATTAATTTACATTTCTTACATTCATTTTTTGAATTATTTTTATTAGAAATAGAATCATTCTACTTAAATTAGTTTTTATTATTTCAAACCCTTTTATATAATACTTTTAATATTTATTTTTAATCATTCTAAAGATTCTAAAATTTTTGTTTAAGTATTAAGGAAAATACGTTTATTTCATTTAAAGAAATCCATATTTATTTTATTACAGATGTAAAGTATTATATATATATATGTGAATATGTTGAGATTTTGAAATACCTTATGAATAATTATTAATCAGTATGTCTAGATACATAATATACCTCATCATTGTGATCATTTGGTGACGATGCAACCCTAAGCAATGAAAGATCCTCCGGTGTAGAGGAAAATTGGACGGGCGCACGTAGTTTTCTGATCCAAGGATCTTCATGATTTCTACGGCAAGTATGAGGATAACTTGGCTCGCTAGCTTCACCAATTAATTCTCGTCTTTCTACTTGAATTTCACCATCGGATAGGGTCTTCTGTAAGGTAACGTATTTGCGATAAGGTTGTACCATATCATTCAGTAGAGCTCGCGCATCCGGTGAGACCAATGCGGGCTTAAAATCTATGAGAATTTCTTCATCCTCAAAGTCTAAATCATTCTTTTTACCCTGTAATTGCATTAATAATTATACATCCAAATGTCTTATCAATCAATTATCTTTATTTTTTTATTTTAATCCTATATATTCTAAGTAGTTTCTCTGAAAATATAATTTTTATCTTGAACAAGAACTTTAAAACAATGTTGTGCATAAAACTTCCTGTTATGTTTTTAATTTAAGCATAATATTAAATATAAATTTCATTTGGAGTTTTTAAAATAAATTTAGGTAATTTGACGAATCACAATTGTTTTGATTTTATAATAAAATTTATTTTTTACATTCATATAGCTTTTTATTTCATTTTATAGTAATTTATTTTATCGAAATCACGTGTTCCATTACTGTATCAGGGAAATAAAAATATTCATGAAATGATATAAAGAAAACTTATGGTAAGTAAATTTTTTACTTGTTAAATGACGTTCTTGGTCAAAATTCTTCATCATTACTTTATATAGAATATTCATATTGTATTATGATTATATTTCAGCAGTATTATGGTCTATTTTCAGTTTTTAGTAGTATTATGTTCTATTTTTAGTTTTTAGTAGTATTATATTGTATTATTATTATAATAAAAAATATTGGCAATGTAATCATATTTCTACACTATATTTTATTTAAACATTCCATTATAAAATCGGATATGAAATCTTATATTTGTTTTTATTTTGGTTTTATAAATAAAAGTTTTTGATAAATATATAGTAATTTATACTTGAATGCATTTAGTTCAATTATTTAGTTCAATATTAATATAAATTAAAGCAGTTATCATATTAATGAATATTTCCAATATTCTGCATGTAATTAACGAATCCAATGAATAAAGTTTTAATTGAAGCATTTAAAGATTAACTGACCAGTCGCTCTAAGTATAGATTTCCGTTTGATAGTTGGCCTTTAAAATTTGGCTTGTGCATGGGAATGTCGTCAATGAAGGGTGATCTCGGCGGTTCTTCGCTTTGCGTCCGTTGCAAAGGTTCGTGTTCACCGTTTTCCTCCTTAACAGTTTTACCCACGCTTAATGGAGTACTCAGCTGACCTGCCTCAGAGTAGCTTTTAGTCAATTTACGTCCATTAGGGATGCCGTTTGTTTGAGCACCCTGCGATACCATTTTCACTCGGTGTATAGTGCGGGGGCTCAGAGTCACAGGTGCCGCGCGTCCTCGCAATCCGAGTCCCGTTTCCGTTTGCGTTGCTTGTGCTTTCATTGTACCGCGTTTTGGCTGCTTCTCTATGTTTAGCACAACATGTATCGGTATTGTAAATCTAGTCACTTCTTTGGAAATACATTTATTTTGACACGGTCAAGGTGTACAATTTACAAAATATTTTATATTGTTTAATATTTATTAGTTATTGTAATTATATAAAACATATGATAATAAACAAAACTTGTGTTAAATTTTAAATCTGTAAACATACATATATTACAACGAATAGATAGGCCCGTTACCTCTACTTCCCAAATTCGCATCGGTAGTACGGCTTTGTAGTACATTTCTCACTGTACAAATTAATGGTTTGTTTTAATATAATAATTTAATATTAACATAAGATTTTATATCTTTTATAATAATATAATGTTTTATATATAGCTATAAACAGAGATCACAGTTTACAAGTAAATAAAGAAAAGATATATATATATATATATATATAGAGAGAGAGAGAGAGAGACAGACAGACAGAGGAGGGATAGATATAATTTCCTTTTTTTTAGTATTATTAATAACACGCAATCGATTTACGCTTTTTCTGCTTTACCCATCTCGTAACATTTGCAATATATTAATTCGCTTTAATTTGATTTGTGGCAGTGGATTTCCAAATGATTGAAAATAATTAAAAAAGTAAACAATATGAAATTTTTTAAATTATTCATTATTATAATTTTGTATTTAATTAAAATATAAGAAAAAATTCAGAATGCGGACAAAATAAATTTTTAGAAACATTTAACTTATAATCTGTCCATATTTATATACAAATTCCTTTAATTTAATATTGTAATTCTGAGAGAGATAAATTATAGAACTTTTATTATATAAAATTATGATTCAGTTCATATACTTTTTCTAATTATTAATATGTTTTTGAAATTATAAATTTTAGATTTTAAATAATTTATTGCTTATTCAATAACATGGAATAAAGTCAAGCATCACAATTAATCAGAAAGACATTGATTTTTTTAAATGATTTAAAAAAACACTTCTGAAAAATAGTGTTAAAATTTTAAAGCGAATAAAATGTTTATATTTATTATTTAATTAACAATTTTTATTTTATTTTTATTTATCCCTAATTAATAAAACGATGTGTATTTTTAATTTTTTTTTTAATTTATTTTTTTTTAATTTTTAATTATCACGACTTACCTATTTTTTATAATATATATAAAACTAGTTTGATTATGTTTATAAAATTTTATAAATTCTAATAAAATGTGAAACAAACTTAAATAAACATTCAAATGAAGATCAGTTAAATGAACATTCAACAAGTGTCTGATAATAATTCTTAAAATATTTGTTTTTAATATACTTTATCAATTATATATTATTTAAATATATTTTTCATAAATTTGAATGACATAAATAATATTCTTAGTTTGATTATTATAATAAATAGTATTATTTCAAAAAACTTGTTTTATATATATTAAATATTTAATAGTGATAAAAATATTAAACAATAGTAATTATTATTACATTAAGTAATTGATTGATTCAATGGCTTATAAATACTTTTATTATATATCCAAAGATAGATTTACAAAACCAATAAGTGTGACACATACTTAGACATTTATTTATTATTATCCAACTGCCAAGTTTTGTTTAAAATACATATGTTATCAATGGAAAGCGAGAAAACTAAAACAGAATTCGTAGTAGAAATTTAAATGCTCACCGAAAACGAGGATACGAGGTTCAGGTTGGGAATAAGCATGCGTTATCCCGAGAGCTGCGGTCATGGAGTTGTAAACTGTTGGCTGGGAATCTATCAGCCGCTCTTGATTGTGCGGGCTTGGTGAGCTCTTTGTATGTGGCATGTCGAATGACGTCAACGTATGCGATCTTGCGAAACTTACATGCTTTGGTTTTGTTATTTGTGACGATGCCTGCTGTTGCGACTGGAGATGTTGTACAGAAGACATTTGTTGGGTAGAGGTAGACAGAACTGATCGTGGCCCTTCCATTCTTGTCGAATCTTCATCTTCCGGTAGCCACGTGTATCTACATCAAATGTACACATCGGTTTTGTGTATATAGTTTATTTTTTCCGACATATTTACACAACACTTTATAAAATACTTCCATTTGCTTACTGTTACCCGAGATTTCCATTAAGCAATTTTTATTAACTTAAATTTTTTAATTATTTTTCAGATATCCCTGCTCTTTTAACTCTTTGTGGCATATTTTAACTCTTTGTGGCATATTTTAACTCTTTAATTTGTTCATATTTTTATTCATTTGTAAACATCTTTTTTCGTTAGATTTTAGATTATATATTTTATAAATAAATATCTTTTAAGTTTATAATAATTTGATTTTAATACTAAAAATATACTCTTAATTTATAATAATAAGAATGATTTATAATAAAAAAATTTATAATAATAATAAAAAAATTGAGATAATAGAATTTTGCATATAACTAAAACTTAATTAGTGTATTCGTACAAATTTTATTTTATTTACATGTATTAAAATATTATGTTACATGATCAAACTTATATAAATTATTAAAAAGAATTAATTTTCTGATATATTTTTCTAAATGTAATTAAATTGTAATTATGATTTAAAGTTTACCAATAATAAATTCAGGATATTTCATTTCTGTATGTTACAGATTGAATATCTTGATAAAATTGAATTAAGTACGAAATTAATGAACTGATGCACAGAAATTATAGTTATATTTGTCTTCCTTTTTATTGTATATGCATAAAAATCAAAATATTGTTAGCTCATTGATAATAGCGAATTATGAGGAAAGATAATAGAATCGAGTATATAAAGTACTAATAGACGACTAATAATTAATTTTATTTTATATTTTCAGTAAAATTTTTCGAAATCCAATTGTACACGTATCACGTTTGTATCACGTATTTTAGTTATAATATGATGAAACAATTGAGCTTTCTTTAAGATCGGCACTTTACCCTCGCCTTGTCTGTTGATAGGTATTGCTCTTGAGACATTGGAATCTATTGAACAATATATACTTTAGTCGAGTGGGATTATAAATCAACATATTTGGTACAGTCACTTATGGCCAATACATATTTCCATTGATTATTGTTTAAAACTGCTAAGATGTTTCACATATCTGACAAATCTCAGCTAAGAATAATTTTTAAAATTTTAGTAAATATTATTATGTTTCTGATCTTTAAGTAATTAAAAAATAACTATTGAAGTAATTTTTGAAGAAAAGTTTTTATTATTTATAATGCAATATTATTTTCTTTTATTAAATAAAATTCTTTGATATCAATTTTCTTTACTCATATCCCTAGAAAAAGTTTTTTTTACTTTAATTGTTATGTAGAAATTAAATGATAATAGAAATGAATATAATTAATAATATATATATAAAATATCGATAAATATTATAGAAATAAATGTAGTAATAGCCAAATATTATCATATTAATATTGCTTGAAATAATATTTAAAAAAAAAAATTTGACATTGTCTTTTTCTAAAATTTTAAATTAATTCTTATATTTGAATTGATATATTTATTTTAGTAAAACTATGATAAATATTTCTGAAATAAGTAAGAAAATTTAATGTATATTATCTTATAATAAAAAATTATAATCATATTGAGTTTTGATGAATAATAAAACACAAACCTGAAATACATTACTTATAATGACATATCGTGAAATCAAATTATTATGTTTTATATATAAAAAAATATATCAAAAAAACGTTGTTCGTGTTTGGGATTGATGCAGTCCCATGAATTTCAAACAAAAACAAGGTCAGACGCGCTGTCCGGCGTACCGCATGTGCGCCTAGACTGGCCCGCACGTGCAGACCGGGACGGGTACTCGAGCTGAAGATACCTCCGCTCAAAATCATCTCTTGCTGTACCACCCTCGCTCAACTGCGCTTGCGGCTAACATCTTGCCGTGACCCGACCGCAGTGACCGACTATAGTGAACCGATTCAATCATATACCAGTAGAAGCCATGGCATACGGGTCTCGATCTGCCCTCAGCAGGACCGCCATGGAACGGTCGGTATTTTCAGCAGAGCCGCCACGGAACGATCAAGCCTTCGGTTCGTGTGTGTATATTATGTCAAAAGGCTCATTTGTAATATCACTTCGCGTTCACTCACGCATAACTGCCGCTCAGTGTTTTTAGTATACTGTGAAGACGGCGCGTGGCCATATTTTCGGCAGCATAGTTAAGAATACACGCATGCATAAGAATAAGAAATCAGCAGATTAGATAGTGATTACAGTGAAGCCAATGGAATAGTAATCAAGGGGAACATCAACTACACAGCATCTAATACACCTAGACAGCTGTTCATCAGGTACACGTTTATATCAATAAATAAACAAGTCACATCTCGCGCTACAGTCGATCGGGCACACTTATACTCTCTCGAACTGATCCCTCGACTTCGTACAGGCCCTGAACAGATGACGCAAGAGTCACTGTGCTTCACACACATTGTCAAAGAAGGATAACAACAGATCAACTAATAGACTATATAAATACAGATTATTAAATCCTTCACGAATTAGAAATCTTACCATTAATTGCTTTTACCTGTGACTAGATTCTTCTACTGTCCCTTTACATAATTAAAGACACAATTGATTACTTAATAAATTCCATTAAACATCTTACATCATATCAAGTATAGTTATTCATACTTCAAACATACTTGATTCAACTACCATCTTCTCATGCTACCTCACAAGCATGATTGATTGACTACATCAGCATTACCTCAATTTCAAGATACTTAGTCATATCCATGGAAGCTACAATAATCAAGAATACAAGCACACACCCTCATTACTTCAATAGAATTATCTCTCTCTACACAACAGTGCAATATTATTATAATTGTTTACACTCATTAAACCTTGTTTTAAAATAAATACATTATATTTTTCAGCCTTGTCCGTTATTGATTTCCTTTAAAATTATCCTGCCGAGAGACTAATCCACTGAACTATTGAATTGGCAGTTCGAGCCATAAGCTAACCCTTTAAATCCGAACAATACCCTTTAATGTTTTCCAAACATTGCAGACAAATAAATAAATTTATAAATTAACATTTTAATAATTGAAAATGTTGTTTATAAATTATATTATAAATTATTTTATAAATTATATAATATATAATTTTTTATTATAGGTGTAAAGTAATATATGGGTGTCCGGATTGTTCAGTTATCGGTTTTTGTAGCTATACATGCAGAAGTGTCAGTATTAGAAGCTTTCATAAATATGAATGCAAATTAACTTCATTTTTTATTGGTAATATATTTATGTAATAAATTGTTTATTTTAAAATAAATATATAAAATTTGAATAATTCCTAAGTTATATTATTCTTTAACTTCACTACAAAAAAAATTTAATTATATGATTCAATGTTTTCATTACTATTAACTATTCTGTTTCATTATATTAAATAAATTACAAGAATCTTTAAAAACGAAATATATTTGGTGTACAAATTAATCATTTGATTTTTAAACAAATTATTTAAAAAAATAAAAATATTTAATTACAATACTTAAAGGTGTAAAAGTACTTTTATTAATTTATATCATTTCAATGTTTATACTTTTTAAATAACTAATATAAAAACAGGTTTTTTTTAAATTTAATACCACATGAAAAACTTAATAATTATGTATGTTTAGAATTAGACTAAGACCACCAGTGTTACGGATTATAGCAGTCTTAAGCGGTATACGAAGTGGGAGAGGTAAAGACACCTGTGCTTAGTTAGAAACATTTGCGCGTCGAGTCATAAACACAATTCTGTAAAATCGGGAACCTTCGATACGTAAAATATACGAATATTACATTACAATTCCGACTAACAAGGCCGACGAATTCCCCAAGGCTAGACTCTAGTGACGTCACTCTAACAATCGGCATGACAAGAGTGATCCAATAATCCAATAATGATTCGCAAGCTTGTCCTAGGATATTTAAGGACACGCGCTTGACGCCCTCGCTCTCTTACTAGTTAATCAAGTATTCATCACGACAGAATCTTCAGTTCGGCTCCAGCCAACACTACAGAGATCGACTCCACATCATACGTAAGCTAAGCTCATTCGGCCTACTACCACTACAGAGAACGACTCCACATCATACGTAAGCTAAGCTCATTCGGCCTACTACCACTACAGAGAACGACTCCACATCATACGTAAGCTAAGCTCATTCGGCCTACTACCACTACAGAGAACGACTCCACATCATACGTAAGCTAAGCTCATTCGGCCTACTACCACTACAGAGAACGACTCCACATCATACGTAAGCTAAGCTCATTCGGC